ATGCGACTCAAAGGCACACCACAACAAAAATAATAATTTTAAAAAGTAAAAAGCTAGGAAGCCACTGCAACACATTGCACTGTGGTCTACAGCTATTTTGGTCCAGTTCCCTGTTTTCCAAGCGATCGTTATGTTTTCTCTATCTTTCCTATTTCCATCTCCATCAAGCCTGCTGTGACAGCCAAAGAGTTACAAACAAGATTGTGCAGTGTACTTTTCTTCCACTGTTTTCTCTGTCTACAGACAAACTTACCTGCTCTTTTTTAAAATTGTGGTGAAAATATGCATAATAAAACATAAACCTTCTCAACCATTTCTACATGTGCAATTCAGTAAGATTGATTACATTTTTCACATTATAACAGCCAGTCTCACCATCCTTTGCCAAAATAGCTCACCACCATTAACATAAGCTCAGTGCCTCCTGAGTAAACGTTCCCCTTTCCCCTCCCGTCTACACCTGGTAACTGCTGATAATCTTTAAATATTTCATATATTAAAAAATATTTCCTTATTTCATGTAAGTCCGATCATACAGTATTTGTCCTTTTGTGACTTCTTTTGTTCAACATTACAATTTAAAGATTCATTCATATTATGGCATCCATGCATTTCTCTTGACTGTTCAGTAGAATCCCAGAGTGTGTGTGTGTGTGTGTGTGTGTGTGTGTGTGTGTGTTTGTGTACACACAATCAACATCTTGTTTATCTGTTGATGGATATTTTGATTGATTCTACCTTTTCACTACTGTGAAAAGTGCTTGCAGTGAACTTGCTATACTTGTTTCTCTACATTTCTGCCTTAACTGCTGGTTATCTACCTAGGATTGGATTGTTGAGTCATAATGTAGTTCTATATTTCTGAGGAACTTCCAAACTGAAGGAGGATTCCAGTTGCTCTATAACCTTGCCATCATTGGTTATTTGATGGTTATTGGTGAGGACGTAGTAGAATCTCACTATAGTTCGTAGTTCCCCAGTAGCTATGGCTGGAACTTTGGCAGTGCACGAGGGACCTCCCTGACGGTTCAAATCCACCAGTGGCTCCACAGAAGAAAGATGGGCAGTCTCCTCTTATTTGACTTCCAGCCTCCCAAAGAGTTCCTTGAGGGTTAACTATGAATTGGTTCCAACTCGATGGCAATGTGCTGAATTTTGCTTATTTATTTTTTGGAGGTTAATTTTAGATGATATTTAGCATTAAGTTTGGGATTACAGGATGCAAGAGTGCTAAAAAGATATGTTCTCACTTTTTACATTTTAAAGTGAGAAACTCTCAGTTTACATGGAACTTCATTTGTTACGGATTCCAGAATGGTTTTCATGTCCCTGTGAGTTAAAATTGACACAGTGGCAGTGGATTTAGTTTTTTAATGGCTGAGCTCCTAGTGACAAGAAGCTGCGTTGCAATTCTGAAGGCACGCGCTTTGAGCCCACCAGCTGCTGCTCAGGAGAAGGATGGGCAGTCTCCTCCTCTGCAGTTAACTGCCTCTGAAACCCACTGGAAGATCAGCTGTGGGTCAGTTTTGGCTCTATGGTACACAACAACAATGACATTGAACATCTTTTTGTGTATTTGTTGGCCATTTGAGTATCTGAAATTTTCTTTCAGTCTTCTTATTCTTTATTGATAAAATTCTTTGATAAACCAAAGTATTTCATTTTTATGAGGTCCTGTTTACCTATTTTGTCTTTTTCTATTCGTGCATTCACTATTGCACCTGACTGTGCATTGTTAAAAACTAGATCTCACAGACTTACCTGTACATTTTCTTATAAAAATTTTATGGTTTTAGTTTTAACAGTTAGGTCCCTGATCCATATTGAATTGCTTTTAGTATATGATGTGAGGCAGTGACACAGTTTCATTGTTTTTCATGTGGACATCCAGTTCTTCTACCACCATTTGGTAAGGGGACTCTTTTTTCCCTTAAGGAGCTCTTGTGGGCTAGTGACAAGGAGCTGCACTGCCAACCCAAGGGCACACAGTTTGAATCCACTAGCTACTCTGCAGGAGAAAGATAGGCAAGCTCCTGTGTGATTTTCACCCTCTGAAAGTCCACTGGAGGGTCAGCTGTGAGTCTGTTATGACTTGACAACACATAACAACAATTTCTTTTCCTATTGATTGGACCTAGCATTATTGTAAAAAAAATCAGTTAACCACAAATTTCTTTTTGGGTTCTCAGTTCCATTCCATTTGTCTATACGTCTGTTATGACACCAGTAAAGAGTTGCATAGGGCAGAGGGAGGTCTGGTGGCCTAGTTGCAAGAAGCTGCACTGTAATCCCACAGGTATGTGGTTTGAGTCCACCAGATGCTCTGCTGGAGAAGGAGGGGCAATTTCCTCCTGTACCAGTCAGATACGATTTGATGGTACACACACTAAAAATAATAAAATAAAAAAGTTTAAAAAAGAGAGTTGCATAGGGTCAAATCAGAATCAACAGCGATAGGTGTTAATGAATCATTGGAATGGATCACTGTTTTCATTCCTGTGTCTTAGTAGTATGTTTTGAAATCAAGTAGTGTGAGCCCTCTCACTTTATTGATTTTATAATTGCTTTAGCTATTTAGGGTCCTTTCTCATAAATTTGAGAATTGACTTCTCTATTTCTATAAAGATGATTAGAATTTTGATAGGGATTACATTGGCCAGAAGCCCTGATGGCTTGCTAAATGAAAAGGTGACAGTTCAAGTAGGAAGAAGTATATTGTTTTTTGAGAATTGCCATCAAGTCATTTTTAGCTGATGACAAACCCATTGGTTATGGAATGGAACAGCTTTGTAGGCTTGTCTTGGCAGTCATCTTACACAGCAGGTTGTCAGGGCTTTTCTTCCTGCAGCACTCCTGGGTGGGCTGAAACCACCAGCATTAGCCTTTGAATGTAAACTATTAGTGCTACTTGGGGACCTGTTGGGGGGGGGGGCAGACTGGCCTGAATCTATTTCATTTCCTTTGATCAGAGAGCTCAGGTGCAGTAGTCCATGGGAGCTTGCTCGTAACCCAAAGGTGGTGCTTTTCTAGCTATTCAAATTCACTGCATGTGCAGTCCAGTAGCATTGATTACATTCCTCAGTTGTACATAGACTTTGTCCTTTGCCAACATATTCCACTCATTTACCTGTTGTCTGTGGCAGCTTTGCACTACAGCAACAGAGATTTTTTTAAAAAAAGGCCCAACATCTTTTTCCTGTTAATGTGTAAGAAGGAACATGCTTCACCTGAGTGTCAGAAGAGCTGAGTTGAGCCCTAAATCCATTATTATTGAGTGGCTGACATAATGGGTTTACAAATCTCAGTTCCTCACCTGTGGAATAATAATGAATGATAACGACGCGCATGGCTATTGTAAGAACTGAAGGTATAATTACTGGTATTTTTTCCCCCAGGAATTGCTGTCATTTGAGGATGTTGCTTTATTCTTCACCAGAGAGGAATGGGAGAACCTTGACTGGGCCCAAAGGTACCTGTACAGAGATGTCATGCTGGAGAACTATAGAAACATGATCTTTCTGGGTAATGATTGGTCTTTAAGTTTTGCCTTTGTGTGTTTTCAGTGTCTAAGTTTTCATTTCCTTATCTGCAACTTCAAAATCAGAAAAAGCCAAAAAGGGATTTTTTTTATAATGTATAAGCCTATGAAAATCAGACCTGAAGCCAAGTGGAAACACCTAATTTTATCTGCCATGTAGCTATTTCTTTTTTTGACTCACTGACGTAGAAATACCTAACCAAACACACTGACTCAACTGGTGGTGTTACCTAGTATAAATATATAGTATAGATGCCAATTCACCTGTCTAAAATCTGGAAAAAATCTTAATTTTTAAATACATCTAGCCTCAGGAGTCAATATTTATGCGTTCCATTTCTTCCTTAACAATATCTAATTTTCCTACATTCATGGTTCTCACATTCCATGTCCCAATCACCAGTGTCTGCTTACAACTGTTCCTCTTCCTTTGTATTTCCATGCTTGAAAACTCAACCTCCTTTGCCATCTCTGTTATCTAAATGTTGTACATAGGGTTTTCAGAGGCCTGCTATTTCAGAAGTGGATGGCCAATCCTTCTTCCTAGTCTGTCTTAATGTGAATGTTCAGATTAAGAGAAGTATTAGACAGACCAGCAAGTTAAAGGTATATCCCTTCTTGCAGAGTTAACTTTACGGCACACAACAACAACAACAACAACAGCCTCAGGAGTATCTGATAAAGGATTCTGGATTTGGGTTATAAATGGATTAGCTTGAGAGTTCAGACAATGCATTTCTACCCCCAGCCCATATCCATCTTTCACATTCTCATTTGTTAAACCTCTAGCAGTGGACAAGATATTGGCCACTTTGAATTCCAAAGGCCAGCTTCTTATTCTCTTGAAAAGTCTCTTTCTTCCTTATCTCTGGAATGGGTAACTTCCTTGTTAGCAACACAAGTGGGTGCACTGGAAATCATCTCTTATTTTTTTACCTACTTTCACCTTCCCAAGAGCCTTGTGTTTGCCTTATTCCAATGCAGTCTCTTACTTTGGGAATTTCCTTGCCCTGTCTGAGATGCGGGTATATTATGCTGATAATAGTTTCTTTCTGGGACCACATATATTCACCCCCACACATTTATGCTCTTGGTACAGTTCTGACCACCTCTTATGGGATTGTCTTTCCACCTCTGGTTTTGTTAAACATTAATTTTCTTTTTAAAAGCCTTTCAGGGGTGTAGTTAACTATGTGGAAGGAACAAAAAAGTGAAAGAAAGGGAAAAAACACTTGCAGTTAACAGATTGACAATTTTTCTCACTCTTAATATTTTTTTTTAAAAGGGCATCTATTCTGTATATAAAGCCATTAATTCTTTTTAACTTAGCATTACATCACTGTTTTCCCAATGTTATTAAAATCCCTCCATTATCATTCCACTATATGATAATTTTTATTCCTTTCCCATTTGGACTTATTTACCTTGGTTTTTTTATTGTTGATTTGCTTGTGTTGTGTATATAAATTTGTGTTACAATGTTACAAAGATGTTTCCGATTAGAAATATTGATATGCTTTTCTGATTATTTCAAGAATTAGAATTTGTGAATGAAAGGATAATGGACACTTTAAGACTGGATATATTTTACAGAATGATTTTTTTAAAGAAAATTTGTTTTGCTCTGTATATCAAACAGCTCTATTTTGCTATATTACTGTACTCATTTAGAGATCTGACTAGTTATAAAAATAAAGTATGTTCATAATACAAATTTTGCATCAGTGAATTATGTAGAAAACATAAAGCATCTGCAGACCCATTGCTCAGAAATAACTGCTATGAACATTTTAGTTTCTTTTTGGTAGTCTATATATAGTTTTAAAAACAATAACAACAAAATGCTATATATCTGCTCTGTATTCAGCTTTAAAATATGTTGTTGTTGTTGTTGTGTACCATCGATTTGGAACCGACCCATAGCTGACCCTCCAGCAGGTTTTCAGAGACAATGAACACATTGCCACAGATGATGGGGAAAAAATGTGTTTCTAAGCGCGGTCGTCAACTTAAAAGTGTGCGGCAACGGGAGGAGATTGTCTATCCTCCTGCGGAGCAGCTGGTGGTCTCAAACTGTGTGACTTCAGGACTGCAGCACAGCTTCTTGCCACTAGGCAATTTTCCTAATTTAAGAAATTTCGGTTGAACACATTTATTTTTATTATCTGCCTAATACGTATTCCTTCCTGGGCTTTGTGCTGTCAATTCCCCCATGACATTCAGCTTATTTTCAGTTTTTAGAACACAGCTGAACATCTCTAGTACATTATCTACTTTCACACTAGTCTAGTTTTTCGTTAGGCTGTATTGCTGAGAATGAAATTATCAGGTCTAGGGTTTTGAATATTGGTCAGGCTTTTAAAAAAGTAGAGAGTAAACATTTTGGAGAATGCATCAGTGAATAAGGTAGAAAATAGAAAACATTTTGGTTTGCTTTTTCTTAGTAACAGTCTTTCATAAAGATTGTGCCACTTTCTAGTGTTATCAACCTTTTAAAGTACTGTTCTTATCTCTCTCCTTATCATAGACGAAGGGGATTGAGACTGAGCGCTGGCACATCTCTGTAACTCACTAACCGCCACATCCATTTACTTCCCCATGAGTAGGATTTCAGTTCCCCAAGCCTGAGGTGATCTCTCAGCTGGAGGACTGGGATGAGCCATGGATCCTGAATCTACCGAGAGCTTGGAGTAGGAAGACTTGCAGCAGTGCTGGCCCAGGTGAGTGAGGAGGAGACCCAGTCGAGTGGAATCAGTAATAGGAAAGGAAATCATATTAATGTTGCCCATTTTCCATATTAATAATGCTAATTGTATACACACCAGACACTGTGCCAGGTGCTTGGCCTGTATCTCACTTAATCATCCCTCTGAAGGGAGGGGTATGACTATTAACCCTGAAAGATTAAAATATCTGTCCTAGGTTGACGGAATTTTATTTCTTGTCTCTACGAGGCTTATCCTCTTTCCACTGGAGCATTCTATTTTTTCTGAAGTAGCTGGCCCAGTGGTTTTTAAAGGACAGCTGCCCTAGGTGCTCCTTTATTCAGCTCTCATTACTTATCCTTTTGCTATACTATCACTTGTTTTCTTAATTTCATTTTGGTTTCCGTATTTCCTCTGTATTTCCTGGTATCTTGACTCCTGATTCCTTTATTCCTACTGAACCTTTTTCCTGATTGCCCTTCTACCCTTTTTTCACTTCCCTCTCTACTCAAAGTTTTCTCAATTCCAGCACTGACATTTGGACTAGATGAGTCTTTCTTTGGGGATGGATGCTGTATGCATTATAAAATGTCTAACAGTATTCCTGAATTTTTATCCACTAGGTGCCTGGAGTACCACCCCATTTGTACAAAATGTTTTCTGATGTTTCTAAGTAGCTCCTAAGGAGTAAAAATAAACCATGGTTGAATACCACTGCTCTGCTCATTTGGCTTTTGTGCCTATTTCCCCTTTGATTCCTTTTCTGCCCTTATATTTTCTCAGTTTCTAAGGAATTTGTTGATTTGTCCCTACTCACAATTATTATGAGCATGCAATCTACATGACCTGAGTAAGTTGCTTTTCTAAGATTGGTGAAATGTGGTATTTTCTTTTTTTTATTTTTATTTTTTTTTTAAATGTGGTATTTTCTAGAACACTCACATGCATTTTTTAGTCAGTTGATGTAAGGATCTCTGTTATGAAAGTGAAGAGTACTGTTAAATTCATTATTGTGGCTTCTTGAATAATGACATAACCAAGTAAACATTTGATAATTTCATTCTGTTATCTTGTATCAACAGCCAACTTCTTTCCCTTTTCCCCCACTCTGCACCCTCCTGCCACCCTGCAGTGAAGAGTTCATTTATTTTCCTTTTGTTTGGCTAGGTTCCGAGGCCCAGTACAAGATGAGAAAACGGACTTCAACGTGGGAAATTCCTGAAGAATTAATATCAGATAATGTATCAATGGTAAAGCAAAAGGCAGCCAACAAGTCCTCTGAAAAGTTAAATAAATGTAAGGGATTTGTAGACAGTTTCAGATTTACACCACCTGCCAGTGGTGATAAATGTCAGAAGGGCTTCATTCAAGACCTTAATTTTATTGAAGATCACAATGCTCAAAGAAAGAAGCAGGACAGATGCAATAAATATGGGAAACTCTTCAGTCATAAGCACATTTTTACAAGACCAAAATGTTATGAATGCCGTGAATGTGGAATAGTCATCAAGCGTGAGGCAGATTTTCTTCGACATCAAAGAATTCACACTTTAGAGAATCCTTTTGAATGTAACATTTGTGGACAAGCCTTCAAACAGAAGTCAGATCTTCTTGTCCATAAGTTTTGTCACTCATCAACAAAACCGTATGAGTGTCGGGACTGTGGAAAGTGCTTCCGTCAGATCTCCTATCTTGTTGAACATAAGAGGATTCATACCAAAGAAAAACCCTTTAAATGTAGTGAATGTGAGAGAACTTTTAGTCAGAATTCAACCCGTATTAGACATCAGTTGACTCACAGTGGAGAAAAGCTCCATAAATGCCTGGACTGTGGGAAAGCCTTCAGTCGACACTCCACTCTCCTGAGCCATCAGCAGATTCACACCCGACAGAACACCCACGCTTGCCCTGACTGTGGGCAGTCCTTTGGGCGCAGTGTCGATCTCATTCAGCATCGGAGAACCCACACCAAGGAGGAATTCTTTCAGTGCAGAGAATGTGGGAAAACATTTAGTTTTAAATCAAATCTTTATCGGCATGAGGTCATTCATACTGGAGAGAAGCCTTATGCATGTAACCGGTGTGGAAAATCTTTCAGTTGGCGCACAAGCCTTATTAAACATCAGCGAACTCACCAAGGACAGATGTCTACATGACAGCAGAACTGACCATTTAGCGATCAGAGCTCCATCATTACTGCAGGTATTTATAACTTGATTGCTTCATGAAATAAAAAGAGACTGAAATGATGTTTCTGTGGAGACCTCCTTTTTCTGTGGCTTACCACCTACTTGATCCTGCTTATGTGAAACCTATACTTGGACCAGGAGGCAGTCATGAGAACAGAGCAGGGAAACACTGCATGGTTCAAAATTGGGAAGAGTGTATGCCAGAGATGTGTCCTATCTCCATACCTTTTCAACCTATATGCAGAACAGATTATCTGGGAGGCTGGGCTCTATGAGGAGAAATGTGGCATCAGGATTGGAGGAAGACCCATCAACAAGATGTGTTATGCAGGTGACATAACCCTGCTTGCTGAAACTGAGGAGAACCTGAAGCGCTTACTGCAGAAGGTCAAGGACTGCAGCCTTCAATATGGATTGAAGCTCAATATCAAGAAAACAAAGATTCTTATCACTGGGCCGACTTGCAGCTTCATGATAGATGGCAAAAAGATTAACAGCTTCAGCTTGCTTGGCTCCACAATCAACACTCTTGGTTCCAGTAGCCAGGAAATTAAAAGACAAATTGCATTGGGAAAGTCTGCTGTCAGAGACCTCTCCAAAGTACTGAAGAGCAACAATGTCAGTCTGGAGACCAACGTGCACCTGATACAGGCCATGGTCTTTGGAATTATTTGCTATGCATCAAAGAGCTGGACAGTGACTAGGAATGATAGGAGAATTAATGCCTTTGAGCTGTGTTACTGGAGAAGAGTATTGAATATACCATGGACTGCTAGGAGAAACAAGTTCACCCTAGAGAGGATGAAATCAGGCTGCTTCTTGGAGGCAAGGATTCTGAAGCTTCATCTGACACACTTTGGACATGTTGCAAGGAGGGACCAGACCTTTGGAGAGGGATGTCATGCTTGGAGGGTGGAGGGACAGCACAAGAGAGGAAGACCTTTGATGAGATGGATTGATTCAGTAACTGGGGTAATGGGGTGGGTATGTCAGAGACAATAAGATTGGCACAGAATAGAGCAGGGTTTAGGGCTTTTGTACATAGGGTCACTATGAGTCTCAGGCAACTCGATGGCACATAACAACAAACAAACCATTACCTACTATATTAAAAATTAATTGCCATCAAGTTGGAACAAACTGATAGCTGGCCCTCCAGTGGGTTTTGGGGGCTATAAATCCCTCAGGAGGAGATCGTCTTTCTCCTGCAGAGCTGCTGGTGGATTATATCTGCCAGAGAGGCACTACCTTTGAGTTAGCAGCTCAACTACCTGCCAACCATGGAAGAATTCGCTCTAGAAAATGTAGTACGCTGTTGTATACAGTCTCGTGAACTCCCTGTACCTTATTCACTTTCTCCACTCTGATTTTAAGACAGAAGGGAAACATGGTATAATTTTGTTCTGTGGCTCTCCAAGTGGGGGACAAATGGAAATGAACAATTTAAGTGCCTTTTTTGTGGTTTACATAGAAAGATATTACATAGACTTAAAGGGCAAAAAAGCATTGCTTTGCTTTAAATGAAGGGCTACTCATTAGTGATATACTGAGTTATTAAAATGTGTTCTAAATGTATAAACTAATTACTATGCCTGTGGACACTAGAGAGGAAGACCTTCAACAAGACGGATTAACACAGCAGTTGCAACAATGGGTTTGAGCACAGTGGGGACTGTGAGGACGGCACTGAATAGGGCAAGGTTTCACGCTCAGTCACACCTAACAACTAGATCCAGCTAGAGTGTTGCAAGTCCGTATCTGTAGCACATGCTATTGGTGCCCTGCCTTACCCATTCTGTACATTTCATCTGGCTTGTGGTACCTTTACCTGCAGGCTTTCCCGATGGGTAACTGTCATATGCTGGGAGCAACCCTCAACATGACCACACAGTGATGGATGAGAATTTGCATTTAAAAACTGCATCTCCTCCCAATTTTTCCCATATGTTTAGACACCTTCATCCACAGCAGAAGTGGATTTATTAGTTGTCCTCCCTTCTATCTCCACCTTCCTACCAGAGTTCCCTCACATTATCACCCCCCAGTTAAAAAAGAAAACTGCAGACTCCTCAGATTACAGAATTCAGATTTATGAATGGCTTGCCCTTTTGTTTCATAAATGTGCCCTAAAATTAGGCTGAGAGCTATATGTACCTCTCACCTCCAGATTCCACTTGAAGATGTAAATGGAGCTTGTTCATAACCCAAGGACTTCCTATTCTTGTAGTCAAAGTTATCAACTATTGTCCTAGAAGAGCCATGTCCCTGTGTAAGCCAAGCACATTTTTATATTCAGGTGAAAGAAATTAAGCTGTTGTATTACTCCCCCTACATCTCACCACAACCAATTCTTTTGAAATTTGAAGGTCCTGATGCCATCCTAAATCTGCACTATAAATTGCTATTTGTTATTTATTGCCTTCAGTCGACTCTGACTCATTGTATAACAAACAGGACTGAATGTTGTCCTGTTCGGTGCTGTCTTCAGGATCTTCAGTGTGTTTGGATCCATTTCTATAGCCACTGTGTCAGCCCATCTCATGGAGTTTCCATTTGTTTTGATTGGCTTTGTACCAAGTATGTGTCTGTACCAAAATAGTGACTGTTTTATGATGTGTCCAAACTTGGTGAGATGAATTCTGGCCACTTCTGCTCCTAAGGCACTTGCTGGTTATAGTTTTTCTAGGTCTGGTCTGTTCTTTTATCAGCCCACAGAGCAATCGATTCTGTGTTGTTACTGGTATCACTATGATAAATGGGTAATGTCCCATTTCCATTTTGAAGGGTCTACTGTGGAAATCCAAAGTCCCTGGGAGGCACAAAAGGTTTTTACCTGTCTATTGAGGTGAACGTTAGAGACTTGAACCCAGCGAACAGTGCTGCACGAAAAAGGCCTAGCAGTCATTCATAAATATTACAGCCAAGAAAACCTATCAAGTCCTTTGACTCTGATTCATAGGGTGATCATGAGAATGAGCTTGATAGCATTGACTTACTGCCTTTCCTCTCAGAGCCTGCCTTCCTCAATGGAACAGACAGTCGTGGCCAGCAGCCCCTTGTGTTTGGGAGACATTCCTACCCAAACGTCTCCAGAATTGCTCAGATGTTGAATAGTTAGACTTTGGTTTGCTTACAGGAAAACCTCATCAATCATAACTAATATTTTATGAACATTATGAACTTCCACATAAATGAAAGGACAAAGGCATTACTTTTTTTTTTAAAAAAAGCCTTTACTGAAAGAACATTGACTGAAATGAATATTCATCATTTGGCTTATTTACCAATAAGATCTAAAACATCGCCGTCAAGTTGGAGCAGGCTCATAGCAAGCCTTCCACTGCGTTCTCACGGCTAAAGTGCAAGGGAGGAGACTGCTCATCTTTCTCCTGAATTACCAAAGAGAGAATCTTTGCATTAATGGCACATCTGCCTATGGACTAGGCTCCCAGAGTTTGCTCTTTAAATAAGTAGCATCAAGAAAACCCAAGAGAGTAAGTATATTATATGTGACAATATGGGTAACTCTCACAAATAGAAAGGAAATAAAACAGACACAGAAGATTACAGTTATGGATGAATTATGTCCTTCAAAAATGTGCAGACTGATTTTGAGGATGGTGTGGGACTGGGCAATGTTTCAATCTGTTGTTCATCACTGAGCCAAGACTGGCTTAAGGACATAGGTAACAGCAACTGTGTCTGTACCAGTAATCCCAGGCAAGGTAACTGTAGGATATGTTTTGAACTGATCTCATACAAAAGAAAAAGGAACAAGGACAGACAGAGAGTATGGTAGATTACCCCATGAAGATTATCCAGGAGCTCAACAGACCCAAGGGCCTCCACCAGAGCTGACAGAGAAAAGCTTCCCCTGGAGCTGGAACCCCGAACTTCAAGTGGGTAAGGAGTTGTGCTGCCAACCCAAAGACACATGGTTTGAATCCATAAGCTGCTTCCAAGGAAAAAGACTGGCAATTTCCTTCCATGTGGTTTATAGTCTTTGAAAACTGCAAGGTCAGTTTAGGTGGTTCCAACCAGATGGCAATGAATGAATCTTTCAAAAAGAAATTTGTTAAAAGCCATCCACTTGTATTTCTTGTATAGTACTTTTGTTAAGTGGGGTTGCTATGAATAGGAACTGGCTCAATGGCACCTAACAACACGTGATACGCAGCACTCATCTCCTAATCAAAAGGTTGGTGGTTCAAATCTACCCAGAGACATTTCAGAAGCAGCCACCAACACAGAATGGACTCCACAGTAACTAATGTGTCATACTCTTCCTTATATTAATACCTCATGGCAGTTTTAAACTGTTACTTTACCCATTTCCTCATTCTCAGCCCCAATGTTCTTTATAAATGCATTTTTTAAAAGTTTAAATTTTAGCACAACTTAAAATGAAGCCTTTTTAGGTACACCTAAGCCAATATTTCAGTTCCTTCCTGCTGGTTATATGGAAGATCAAAGAATAGGCAATGCTTTACTACTAAATCCAGAGTTGAGAAAAAATGCATTATTAAAGGTAATTTGAGGTTTGGCTGTGGTAACTATTGAAAGTACTAGGAAATTGGCAGTGTGTATTAAGAACCATAAAATGATTCACATACTTACCCAGAATTCTAGGAGTCTAGTTTCAGGTTCTAAAGAATCATCCAGATTATAAAAATTATAGAATCATCCATTATTGTATTTGTTACTGCAGTGTCTGAAATCTGGAAAAATTAGAAATGCTTGTAATCTCTAATTAAAGGAAAATGGTTCAATTGCTAGGAAATGATGCAGCCATTATGCATAATAGTTATGAAGACTATTAAAAACCCATTAAGACACAACAATAAAATTTAAGATATAAACTGCTCATGCACTATGATCTTTATTATGTAACAAGAAAAAATCAGAAGACAATACACACAAAAGTTAACAGTTGAGTCAGGGCAGTAAAATTATGGATAATCCCCCCCCTCTACTATTTTCTGAAATGTAAAAGGGGCTGGGAAGGGAGTTTCTAAAGGAAACTGAATGCAATATACATTATCATGTAGAAGTGGAAAGATAATATTTAGATTCAAATTCCTTCACTCAGTTTAACCCAACAGTGACAATAAACTAATTCCTATATCCTACTTTCATCTAGTTACAGGAGTAGGAAAAAAGACAACGCCGGGAAGTTAAAGAACATCAAGTTTTTAAATATCATCCAAAGCTTGTATTTCTTGTCACAATAAGTGCACATGCACCTGCTACTTCACAGCTGCTATGGGGTCCACAGAAATGCTTCATGGAGTGGGGAGAGGAAAAAAATAATGTGAGATGCAGGAAATTAATCACAATGTGGAAGCTATTTGCCATTGCAAAGCGAAAAAACTGTGCTTATTTATGTTCAAGGTCAAGCAGTCAGGTCATCTAAAAAAATAGCAAATGTGAGCCTCAGTTTCTTCATCTGTAAATGAAGACAATAAAGTTTTCTACTTACCTCATAGAGTTGCTTGAAATCAAAAGGGAAAATGTATATAGATGCATTTTATCAAGAAACTAGTACTACAAAATGTCAGTCACTACTGATGCTAACAAATCAAGCTACAGCTTTAACTTCAGTCCTCTGTGTCCTCCTATTTTGAAACACTACCAAAGAAATACTAGTGGAGGCTTTCCTTATGTCCAAAACATTAAGAAATCTCTACACAAAAACCAGGAAACAAAAAAAAAATGTGGTTTTTGGCTATTCGAGATCACAAAAGAAACAAAACCCTGCCATCAAATCAACACAGGACAAAGAATTGCCTCACAGTTGTTTTCAAGGCTGTGAACTGTTCCAGAAGCAGATAGCCACATCTCTCTCCCCAGGAGCAGCTAGCTGGTAGGTTCAAACTGCTGACCTTTTGGTTAGCTGCCAAACTTGAACCACTGCATCACCCAATAATCCTTACAGTACTCTGTAAAGGTCAGTGCATATAAGCAGCAGTCTGTATTTTTTTTAAAAATTAATTTTGTAGCTTCCTTTCCCATCTTAGGCTTTTAAAAGTTCAGTTTTATACCTTTTTTTAAGGAAATCCACTCAAAAGCTTTTAGTATGAAATTTAGTGATTTTTTTAAAAAAATCAAATGCTATCAAAAGTAAAATGTTAAGTGCCATCAAGTCGAGTACGACTCATAGCAACCCTATAAATAAAAGGTCTGAACTCTGTTCTATCCTGTGCCATTCTCATCTTTCCTAATGCACAAGAGCTCACAGCAGCAGTCACTGTATCAATCCACCTGGTCAAAGGTCTTCTTTACCAGCCTTCCTAGCATCATGTCCCTCTCCAAGAACAGCCACTCCTAGTAACATATCCAAAGTGCGTGAGGTGAAGCCTTATCATTCTTGCCTCCAAAGAGCACTCTGTTGTACCCTCTCCAAGACATGTTTGTTCTTTTGGCCTCCATGGATGTTCAGTACTCTTCTCCAGTACCAGAGCTCAAATGTATTAATTCTTCTTGTTATCTTTATTCACTGTCCAGCTCTCAGAATGCATAGCAAGTGATTAGAAAGACCATGGCCTGAATCAGATGGACCATAGTTCTCAAACTGTCATTGCTCAATAATTTGGAGAGTTCCCTAACTGCAGATTTTCCCGGTGCAGTGCATCTCTTGTTATTTCCTGACTGCTGGTACCAGAAGTGTTAATTGTGTATCCAAACAAGATTAAGTTGTTGAGTTTCATGAGGAACATAAAAAGTAAGAGTTGTGAGAAAGATAGGATTGAAATGAAATGTAGATACAATTTTCCTTTGCTTTTCTTGTTTTAAAAGGGAAGAAAATGTTATAAAACTGAACTCTACAAAATTAATTCTTTAAGAAATAGAAAATGAAGAGTGTTTTTGTATACACTGAACTCTCTAAAGTGCTGTAGGGATTAACAAGTAGTTAAAATCCTTTTTACTATCTTGGTCAAAAAGATATTTCTAACTGGCTGAAGAAAAAAAATCTTAGGAAAAGAAACGGAGTGGGTAAGATTGGTTCAAAAGAAGGGTGGATGATAAAGACAGAATTCTCTTATAATCAGGTATCTCTTACACTGAACTACCTCATCTCATGGAGGGGGCTCTTTACCAACATAAATATCAACTTACTACCTCGTTTCTCCTTCACCGCAATAGTTATCAAAGTATGTATCAAGTGACTTAAGTCAGACTACATCCGTTTTGTGTGAAATATCCAAGAAAATAAAATTCATAACTGAATGAACTACTCTAAAACACTAAAGGGTATAGCTTTTAGACAACAGTGAGTAAACAAAATAACACATAGAACCATGTCAAACTGGTGGGGCTTTATGAATTCTATGATGGCGGATAAGGTGTGAACTCTGTCTGAAGCTTTTCTTACATTCAGGGCATTTATAAGGTTTCTCTCCAGTGTGAGTTCTCTGGTGTTTGACGAGGGTCGTGCTCTGGCTGAAGCTTTTCCCACAGACGGAACATCCATAAGGTTTCTCTCCTGTGTGGATCCTCTGATGTTTACAGAGGTCGGAGCGCTGCTTGAAGCTCTTCTCACATACTTCACATTTAAAGGGTCTCTCACCTTTATGTGTTCGCTGATGTCTTACAAGGTTGGAGATATGGCAGGTTTCTCCACATTCTTTACATGTACAGTATTTCTCAACTATGTGAATCCTCTGATGCCGACTTAGGTGTGAGCTTTGTCTGAAGCTTTCTCCACATTTGGGACACGTATAGGGCTTTTCCCCTGTATGAGTCCTCTCGTGTTTAACCAGAGCAGCACTCTGACTGAAGCTTTTCCCACATTCTTGGCATTCGTAAGGTTTCTCACCAGTGTGTATTCGCTGGTGTTTAAAGAGGTCAGAATGCTGTTTGAAGCTCTTCTCACAATCACCACACTTATAAGGTCTTTCTTGATCGGGTTGGCTCTGGGTTCCCAAAAGCCCAGAGCTGTGGGAATCTTCCTCACTGTCACTGTAGTCGTGAGGTATCAGCACTTGACACTGTGCCATATCTAAGCTCTGATCCCCATTATCCCCATGTTCATCACTGTTCATGGGCCTGTCTGCTACCTGAACATGCTGGTGATAAACAAAGTCTGACCCTTTGGCACTATCCTCAAAGTCACTATTTTTAGAATCTTCCTCTTCAGTGGAATCATTCTTCTTGAGAACTGAGAAGCCAGTGAATCCTTGTTCTTCAGGAAAATTCTCTACTTTCAATACAGAGGGGTTTCTGGATTGTTCTTCTTCCTGATCCTTGTGCATATCACTACACTCGAAAAACATGGGAGACTTTTCCGGAGACATTTCCTGTCCCTCTGGCTCTGATTCTTCCAAAATCTCTTTCTTTGGAATCAACTCTTTGTTCTCAGTTCTGCTTTCCAAACCTGAAATAGTAAAATAAAAATTGTAGACATTTCACATATTTTCAAAAGTGCAATCAGCAAGTATAGCAGAAAACAAAACATGTCTAGTACTATTTTTCATTCATCTATACCAGAAGCAAACACACTTAACTAATTTGCCATAATTGCTAACATCTACCAAAGCAAATTCTCTTTATTTCATCTTATGTCTATACCTACAAACCAACTTCTTCTCCCTTGTCCCATATTACTGTTTTAAAAGTCATTATAGTATGAGGGGTACATTCAGAAGGGGATTTTTAAAAAGCTAAAGCATAGGTTTTGCAGTATGATTGTCTAGCTTATCCACGACTTGTAAAAACACCAAAAAAGAAAGGAGGGAGAAGCAAACATTGACAGAACCAATTGTGTCAGAATTCTGATAAAGTATCAAAGGGTCACAAGAACTAAATTAATCCTGAATGGAAAAAAAAGTGATACCTAAATGAAGATAATTGGTTTTCTACTTGCTAGCACCTCATCTCCCTGGCTTGGCACGGCCATTTTAAAGTTGTAGCAGTCCATATTCCCACAGAATGCAGGTAAAGTGGAAACAAAGCAGATTTCATTTGCAAATTTGTACACACGAGTGTGTGTATGTTCTAACCTGTCTGAGAACTATCTGAAGAACTTCTTTGACATTAGTGACAGCTTAGTATCTCTCAGGGCTCACAAAGGGCTGGGGAGCAGTAGGCAAATGCCCAAAAAGTATTCAAACTGCTTAGAGTTAATGAGTGTGATTAAGGCACATGGTATTTCCAACTGCCTCATATGCATGTGAAAGTTGGACAATTTGACTAAGGAAAAGTGAAGAATGATGCCTTTGAATAATTACGTTACTGAAGAATATGGAAAATGCTATGGAGTGAAGCATAAATAAAAACAACAGAACAAGAGAAGAAATTGATGCCTTTGAGTTGTAGTGTTGGAAAAGAGTACTAAATATCCCATGAACTGCCAAAAGAACAAATAGGTCGTGGAGAAAATGTAGCCAGGATGCTCCTTAGAGCCAAGGAGGGTAAAACTTCCTCTCACATTTCAGGCTGCTTGTTAGGGGTGCCCAGACCTCAGAAAAGGTGGAGGGTCAGTGAAAAAGCGGAAGAACTTCAACGACATGAACTGAAAGTGACTGTAATAAGAGGTTCAAGTATAGCAGAGAAGGCAAGGTTCAGGCTGCTTGTTCATGGGCTCATTATGAGTCATAGTTGACTGGTGGCACTTATACAACCTGTCTTGAAAGAAGTGCAGCCAGAATGCTCAGAAGCAACAACGCTAAGACTGTCTCATGCTTTGAGTATCTTATCAATATATGATGCTTGGTAAGGTCATAAAAAAGAGGAAGGCTCTTAACGAGATGGACTGACACAGTACCAACAGCTGTAGGCTCAAGCCCAGTAATGACTGAGGACGGCACAGAACCAGACTGTGTTCAGTTCTGCTGTCACCAACTTAGTGGGAACGAACAAGAGGAAGTCAAGAGAGCATCTCTTTTATAAGACTTCAGGGAAATTGAAAAAGCCACACGTATGTTCAAGGTAAAAGGCATGCTCAGAAATTATCGGAAGAGATCTTATTTATGTTCTCAGCTTGGGCTGATACTGAGGCCGGACTAATGTGGAAGGACAGGCTCAGAACTGAGTCAATTTATAAAGACCAGAAGATGTATTTGTTTTGCTTCCCCCTGAGTATTCAGGGAAATGCCTGTTCAAATGCTACCTGAACACAAGATAAGAAACAGATTTTTTGGTGTTCATATTCATGTAGGAATGCAAGCTTTGCAAACAAATAGGAGAAGTCACTAAACAAATAGCCTATTACAACTTTAACATATTAAAAAGTAAAAGAATATGGTACCTAGAGCTCTCATGTTATAATATTAAAGTAGCCCAATTTTAACAACAAAATCACAACATTCAAGGAAACTAGGAAGGATGCTCCATTCAAAAGAACAAAATAATGTGACTGAAACCATCCTTAGTAGACAAAGCTGGGCTTCACTAGACAAAGACTTTTAAAAACTACAGTATTAAACATGCACAAGGTGCTAAAAAAACCCAAGAAGAACTAAAAGAAATTAAGATAATGGTGCATGAGCCAAAAAAGGGACTATTAACAGATAGAAATTATAATAGGAATCAAACAGAAACATGAAAACACAACCAAACCCCACTGCCTCCGAGTTGATTTTCACTCACACCAACCCTTCACGGCAGAGCAGACTTGGCCCACAGTGTTCTAAGACTATAAAGATGCTAACAGCCATGCCTTTAGCCCATGGAGGGACTGGTGCGTTTGAAGTGCTGATGTTTCAGTTAACAGTTCAATGCATTAACCAGAGCAACACCGGGACTTTGAAATAGAAAAAGCTGAAAATACAGTAACTGAAATGGAAAAAAGTCACTGGAAGGGTTTAGCAGCAGCTCTGTGGTGGAAGAAGAGTGATTTTAGACAACTGAAAGTAGTAAACAAGACTCTAACACACCTATGACACTTTTAAGTTGACCACAGAAAAAGATGGAAGAAATACAAAGTCACTGTACAAAAATGAACTAGTCATTGTTTATCCTCACAGCTGACGCTTCAGTGGGTTTTCTGAGGCTATAAACCATACAGGAGGGGACTGCCTATCTTTCTCATGTGGAGCACCTTGTGGATTTGAATCACTTGCCTCGATGTTGGCAGCACAGCTTCTTACCACTAGGCCACCAGATCTCCTTTTTCAGGAAGTAGGATATGATAAAGACTCAGTAGTATTGAAGGAAGAAGTCCAAGCTGAAGGCATAAGAACACAGCTACTAGACTTGATGAATACTAATTGGAATATTTCAATAAATGGATACAGTGCTAGAAGTGTTGATTCATCTATGCCAAGAAATTTGGAAGACTGCTATCTGGGTTAACCAACTAGTTGTTGCTGTTATGTGCCATCTAGTCGACTGCAACTCATAGTAACCCTATGAATAACAGAGCAACTAGCTAGAAGAGATCTGTATTTGTGGCCCAGGGTCACTAGGAGTCATAAGTGACTCAATGGCACTTAACACAGCCACTGGGGAAACAGTCCCTCAAAAAGAAAAAAAATTTTCATAAGAAAATTAGCATATAATTCAGCACCTTCACCTCCAAGCAGGAACACATATGTATACATCAGTATTTACGGCTGCACTGTTCACCACAGTCCAAAGACAGAAACAACCTAAATGTCTATAAGCAGAAGAGCATGCAATGGACTACTACTTTACCATAACGAGATCTAAAGTCCTCTATAGGCTATATGATGAGCCTTGAAAACATCAAGCTGAGTGAAGTCAGCCAGTCATAAATAGTTAAATATTCTGATTCTCTTTACATGAACTATCCAGTGGTTACCAGGCATACAACAAGGCGGGCGGGGGGGGTATCATTACTTAGGGGACACTGACCTTCACTAAGAAGATCTTATTCAGATCACAAGAGAGACTCTTAGGCCCTTGGCCTGTGTCTGTGAATGTCAGAGTAACTCTGGGATTAGACTTTGGAGCAAGCCCTTCACAAATGTGCCGTTATAAACAAGCAAGTAACAGTACTTACTCGGCAAGATTGTGTGCCCACAATCTTTCTGCACACTCTCCCTGGGGAAGTCTCTCTGAGCTGGGTCCACACGCTCCCAGTCCTCCAAGGTTAAAGACACAGCCACATCTTCAATTGTTACTAGCTCCTGAAACAACACAGCACTACCATTAGTCTTAGAATGAGGCCTGATGCTACAAGTTAAATAAGAGCAAGTAGCAATCTTGGCTGTTCAGTCTTTACCAGGTTTTGTATTAACCAGGAGTTCTGAAGTGATCAAAAACAGGCAGATCTTCATTATACTCACTGCTGTCAAGTTGGTTCTGACTCACAGTGAGCCTCCACTGGGTGTCTGAAGCTGCATATCTAAATGGGAGAAGACTTCCTATCTTCCTTCCACAGAGATGCTGGTGGATCCAGTTTGTTGGAGGGAGCCACTTTCTGGTTAGTAGTGCAACAAGCTATTGACTACACCACTACAGCTCCATTGTTGCTGCTACTATTATGTGACATCCAGTCAGAACTGATCCATAGCTTACAACTCCCTCCGGAACAGCTAGTGGATTTGAACCTCCTGCCTTTAGGTTGGCAGTGCCAACTCCACCAGAGCTCCTTTTGCCATACTAAAAAGCCTTTCCGAGGACACCAATTTGGGGTAGGAACAGAGTATTTGAGTTAATATATAAACACACACACACACATATACCCAGGAAACCCAGAGTTCTGATACTAGTTCTCTGAAATAGTCACCTATTGATTGAACCAGGTACAAATATTTAAAGGTGGTAAATGCATCTCATACAAACATGTAAACATTTCCTTTCTCCTCCCCAGATCGCATCATCTTGCGATGATGTGATCTATTGAGACGGCTTATCGGAATGTAGACTTTTGTGAACTCTTTCAAGAAAGTTAAATCCCCAATTCTTAGAAAAGCAAGGTTCCAACCGAAACTGTTAAGGCAGATGGTTATCTGGGTTCCAGTGATGGGTCACACACTGATGCCCTTGATCAATGAGTAGGAATGGGTCTGTCCTGGTGTCCTAGCGCTGCTATTAACGAAATTACTACAAAGTTGGGGGAGGGGCTTATAACAATTTATCAGTCCTAGAGGCTATAAATTTATTGTTTCACAGTTCTGGAGGATGTTCTTGGAAAGGACACACACAGTTACAAATTAAGCGTAGGCATTCCACATAAAAAACTTAGCTAGGAAACCTCTTACTTGGACATGGACGGAGATAGCTGATCTAGTAGTACAGTTCAGCTGGGATTTTAGGTAATAAAAGACGAAGGATCAAAATCTTCAAAATTCTGTGCCTTCGATCACAGATTCTCAGCTGGGAGTGACATGTCCTCTATGGCACCTTTAAGGGATACTGGTGGTGAAGTTTGTAAGCAGCCGGATTTTTTGATTGGCAGCTCTAGTTTACTGCTGTGCTGCAATCCCGAAGGCATGTGGTTCGAGGCCACCAGCTACTCCATGGGAGAAAGATGGGCAATCTCCTCCCATGCAATTAACTGTCTCTGAAAACCCTCCTGAGGGTTTTCTATAGGTCGGTTCTGACTCCACGGTACACAACAAAAATACTTAACAGAAGATCAACCACAAGTGGATTGAGAAGTTGTGGTACATTCATACAATAGAATAGTAAGCAACAAGCAGGAGCAATGATTTCGTAAATTATTACCTAACTTGGGAGGGACTGGAGAGCATTATGCTGAGTGAACTAACTCAGTCCCACAAGGACAAATACTATGTAAAACCATTATTGTAGAACGAGTACGAGGGTCCAAGAGGGGGGAAGAAAGGGTGGACATAACGGGGTGTGGATGGGTAGGGGACAGGGTTGCACAATTAGAGTTGCACAATTCGATGGGTGGGTGGGGTGAAGGAAATGGGAATGATCTTTTTTGAGAAACAATGCATTCAAACTTTGTAAATAAATCAGAATAAAATTTTTCTTTTAAAAAAGAATCTACGCAGAGCAAAAAAGCAAAAAACCCAACACTTAATCAATCCAACTCGATGACAACGAGCTTTAAAGATTCCCTCCACTGTCAAATAGTAAGTAGAAGGAGGGGGCCGCCAAACTTAAAAAAAAAAAGAATAGGGATCTTCATTTAGAGGAATTATTTGTTCAAGCATTAACCTTAAGGACAGGAATCTACTTCTACAGTAAAAATATCCTGATGGTCTTCTTTCCCAAAAGTCTAGGTAAGACAACAGGTTATTTATTCTTCAGTAGGTAAACTGTCATCCAGTGTGGCCTTTGTCCTGAACGGTCTATACCTCACAGATCATGATTTACTTGTCAGTTTCCCAGGCAAAAGGCATCTTTAGGCACATCCTACAAATAAAGTTCAAAGGAAACGTCAATAAAAGCTCATTTGGAACTCACAGCAGCCAGCACACCTCTATTCTCCGCATTCTCACCACCCTTCTCACCTGTGGGACGTTCTCATCCAGCGCTCTCTGAAAAGCCTGCACCACGGCCGCGGCCTCCTCCCAAGTTTCCGGGGCTCGCTCCCGCACCCAGGCCTGGGTGTCCTCGGGCAGGATGGTCAGGAACTGCTCCAGCACCAGCAGCTCCAGGATCTGCTCCTTGGTGCGCATCTCAGGCCGCAGCCACCGGCGACAAAGTTCCCCGAGGCGGCTCAGCGCCTCCACGGGTCCCGCCACCTCCTGGTAACGAAACTGCCGAAACTGCTGTCGCAAAGTTTCTGGATCCTGATGGTCCTCGGGTGGATAGGGTTCCCCACCTCTGGGAGGGTCATCCTCCACTTTCACTACCAAAAGTCCGTCCTCAGGGGGTGAGGGGGCGAGCCTAGACCTCGCAGCCATCTCCTAAATCTGCTTTCTCCCTGTTCCTCGGGGCCGTTCAGACAGAACTCATCTTCCTTTGGCATGTGCTGACTTTCCAGGAGTTCTGCCTTTAGGTGGGGGGACAGGGGGAGCAAATCCTGCTAAAAGCTAAGTAATTCGTCGGCCCTTTTTAGAAAAAAACCAAAAGAGTGTCCAATCCAAACATAGGCCTCCACCCTCCCTAACCCCTCTAACTGGGCTCCTTTCCGCTATTATTCTGCTTGCGAACAGCTTAGCCCCGTAACCCGGGAGTGGACCATTTAGCCCAGGCCGGAAGTGCGTCACCAATTCCCGATGCTGCCCGCCTCCGGGCATTTAAGGGGCCTCTCTAGGCGTCCTGGAGGAGTGAGATGTGTTTCGGTGGTTTGTCATGCTTGCTTGCCCTGGGGGCGGCGTGTCCCGAGCAGGGTCCTGTACCTCCGAAAAGTAACTGGCTAATTTTACGGTTGGAAAGGGGAAGGGGGAGGAAGTTGTTATTATTTTTAATAAACTGTAGTAAGTTGCATGGCTGGTCCAAAGGCCTTGCACTCTGGCGGTTCAAATCCATCTGGAGCTCTGCGGGAGAAGGAGGGGCTATGCATTCCCATGTGATTTACAGCCTCGAAAACCCAATGACAGGTCAGCTATGCTTCAGTTCGGACTCGTGCCAATGAGTTTGAGGGGTTTTAATTTGGGTTGTTTTTTGGTTTTTTACAGAAGCTATCACTGTTGAACCCAACTGTTGTTATGTACTCTGGAGTCGGAACCAACTCCAAGCTGACCCTCCAGTGGGGTTTTCAGAGGCAGTTAATCACACGGGAAGAGATTGCCCGTCCTTCTTCTAAGTAAGATGTTTAGGTTGAGGTTCAAAACAGCTTTATCTTCCCAATATCAAGCCACTATAGATGTGACTGTAGATGGGGTGAATGTTTTCCAATCCCGATGCTTACGGCTTTGTACTGGTACAGTTTTCGTTCTTTATAATAAATTTTCAGCTATATGGTTTGTTCATTCATCCAAGGAACATATCTGTCTACTCTGCTTTTACTCCCAGAGGAGCTGTATGTGGAATTTATGTGTTGTTGGTAAATGCCACTGTGCTTCTGTCTTCAGTAATTAACTACCCAATATATTGACTGAGCATCCATCGCTGTTAAGTAGGACATGCTCCCTGCCCTTATGGTACTTGTGAGAAATTGGATGGTAGGATAGTAGCTCACTGGTTACCTGGGTGTTAATTTACAGCCTTTGGAAAAACTCCTGGAGGATCAGCTACTAACTCAGGAGCGATGAGTTTAGTTACATTTTTGCTAAGAACTGTACAAAAGCCCAATTAGGCAACTCATACTTCAGGTTTTAGGAATTAAAAGGTCATAATAATCTTATCCGTGTTGCTTGGTTTAAGTAGGCACTAACAGGCAGAGGTAGATTTTTTTTTTCAGGATTGAATTTATTGGAAAGTCTGCTTCTACATAACCAAAGTAAACCCTCCATTTTTAAGATACAAGTTTGTAATTTTAGAAATTTGGAACAATATGTAACTTCCACATGTTTAGATTTCACGTCTCAAAGTGATCTAAATAAAAATCATCCTTTGAAGGCAGGAACTTTGTGGAAGTCTATTTTCTGTATAAGATTGCTGTCATAATCTGGCAGTGAGTGAAGAGACCTTTGCCTATTACTACAGAGGAAGGCTTACATTGTAATATGCCAATTCATAATTTTTTAAAAACCAAACAAAAAAGCCCAGAAGAATGAAAAAATTCATTTCAGAAGAAATAAAAGAAGAATGTGCTTTACATGTCAAGACTTTGACTTGCTGACTTTTGACTGTCATCTGGAATAATCAATAGATAGAAAAGGACATAGTGATTGTTCAAGTGTAGGTTCAGTGTAAAGGAAGGAAACGGTAGCCAAAACAATGGACTCAAACATGCCACAACATCACAAAGATGTATAATTACTTATAAACACAGGTGTGTAGTCGTTAAGGGTCAGAGTCACCTCCAGGGTAAACATTCACCAGGGATTTGGTCTAGATGGGAAACTACCTAGAATGCCTGATTTGAGGCATTCTGAAAGAACATCATACCTTATAATAATCATCCATCTATTGCAGATGCTGGGATTTCTCACATATGTTTCTCTTACATATAATTTCTTTTCGTGACATATAAGAGTAGGAATTCTTGTTCTGCCTCTCTAATGGTTTTGTGCATGTAAAGGACCGTATGAAGACAGAAGATGGTTAAGGAATGGAATCCTCTTGGCTAAAATTAAAACCAAATCAGGTACCATCAAGTCTATTAAAACTCAAATCAACTCTGTAGGGCAAAGTGCAACTGTCCCCTAGGGTTTTCCAAAGCTATACATATTTATAAAGCTGACTGCTAATATTTCTCCTTCTGGTAAGTTCGAACCTTTTAGTTATCATTAATCACTGCACCACCAGAGTTCCTTCCCTTGACTAAGGGTTGTTGTTGTGTATCACTGTCTACTGGAAACAAACTCATTGCTAACCCTCCAGCAGATTTTCAGAGGCAGTAAATCCCATGGGAGAGACAGCCCATTTTTCGCGAAGCAGCTGGTGAAATCGAAATATATGTTTTTAAGTCGGCAGTGCAGCTCCTTACCGCAAGGCCACCAGAGCTTCTTCATTAGTAAAGGGACTGTGTAAAAAGTGAGTGTCTTGTCTGAACGTGTACCTCTGCCAGACTCAGCATCCAGAATGCTCCACATCCCTAGGATCTTTCAAACAGAAGCAACGAGGCCACGCCTCCTTTCCTTGCCTCATTCTGATAGGCCCGCAGTATCAAAGCTACATGAGATAGGCAGCAGGATTGGCTAGCAAGCTTGACCTGCGCGGAGGATTCTGGGAGATGTAGTCCTGGGGGGGGTGTCTCGCGAGTCTGAGGACTAACAATAGTTAAGTGGTAAGATAGGAGGTCAGGAGGTGAGAGTGGTGAAACAGCATGGGGATGGGAAGTTTAAATTTAAAACGAAAATGGTCTGAAAGAGAGGTAACGGTTGCCAGCTTGCACTGAGGTACGGCCCTACTTAGGGGCAACGAGCATTCGGGTGGGCGGGAGGTGCTGGACAGGTGCAAATCTAACGGCCAATCAGACACTAACAACTGTTGCCCCAGCAACACATTCCTAACACCTAAGGCCCCGCCCCATGCCTACATGCTCGAGAAAGGGAAGGAACTGAGCTGTGGAAATGGCTTTGGTTTTCATTTACAATTTTCTTTTCCGCTCTACTGACGTAGAACCTGTGGTTTTGGGGCACCGGGGAGCTGCACCGGAGCAGGAGGTGGCATGTCTCGCACCCCGCTTCCCCGCTGATTGGAGCACGCCCTGCTTTGCGGTAGAGCCTCCTGCACCCTGCGAGACCAAGGCCTCCGGGATTCCTAGAGAGGACTCGGAAGTGTTCTCAGAGGTGGGATTTCTGGCCCAACCCAGGTGGCCTGGGAACGACTGAAGTTGCTTACTTCCGGCGAGGGACTGTTGGGTGTCGGCAGCTTCAGTTTTTTTGTTTCTAAGAACTGTGTCTTCTCGGATTCTGCTACGAGGAGCCTGATAATCCCGGAAAGCTCCTCAGGACTGGGCCTTGTTGTCCGGACGCGGTTTCCAGGGAATCCAGGTCCACATGGGTACTGATAGCCCAGCTGCTTTTGGGGACCAGTGAAGACTGTCTGCTGGACGGTCAGTCTCCTGCGGCTTGAAGGGTAGGGTCAGTGTTGAGCATCATGATGTTTCTGTTCCTTGTCCTGACATAACTCTGACAGAGGGTGGAGAGAAGGAACAGCTGCGTCTGAACTAGTTAGTCTGGTTCTATTATTTATCCGGAATGTAAACGCTCTTCAGCTCATAAAATCCTGGTTGGGTTGGGTCAAAGTCAGACTTGTATATCTCTCCTTTAAAATGTTGGGAAAAATCTATTTGTGGTCATTCGGTGGGTCATGGGTCATTCTGCTTTATGGTCTGGTGAATATAGATGATCACTTTGTCAACTGGCCTTACTAATCGTGATTTTTCAGTCTACCAGGTGCTGATTCACAATATACTTCACCGCTGAAGGTGCTCTTCGGAAGATCTTACACAGCCCGAAACAGACCTGATCTTTCCGTGTTGGCATGATAATGACAGAATCCCGGGAAGTTACAGACTTAGACCCTCCAGCTCAGACTTCGCAGGAGCCTCAAGACCTCCTGATAGTGAAGGTGGAAGAAGACGACTGCACCTGGACGCAGGTGTGCAGTCCACCAGCATTTGAGACTTTTTACCAGCGCTTCAAGCATTTCCAGTACCATGAAGCGGCAGGACCCCGGGAGGCGCTCAGCCAACTCCGGGTGCTCTGCTGTGAGTGGCTGAGGCCGGAGCTGCACACCAAGGAACAGATCCTGGAGCTGCTGGTGCTGGAGCAGTTCTTGACCATCCTGCCCGAAGAGTTCCAGACCTGGGTGCGGGAGCATCACCCTAAAAGTGGGGAAGAGGCGGTGGCTGTGGTAGAAAATATACAGAGACAACTTGAGGAACGCAGCCAACAGGTGAGTGAGTTGAAGAGGAGCTGTGTGAACAGTGATAGGTGGAGCAAAGATGAAATCTTGAACTTTCTAGTCTTTCATTCCTAACCCTTTGTTTCCCTGGGATTAGGTGCCGTTCCACACGGTGCAGTTCCAGCAAAGAGAAGCAATTATCCAGTGTGTTAACCTGGAGGACACAGCCGACAGTTTTATTCCTTTGCATTCAAAATAACCCCATTCAGTTTTTTGGTTTTTTTTTTTACAATATCTTTATTTTCCCCCATTCAGTTTTTAAAATGGCATGATACAAACTTCAGAAAGTACATAAATAAGGTTATGATTAAAAGTTAGTTTCTTTCCCACCTCCTAATGCTCTAGCTTCTGAGTTTTTGCCCTGGCAGCCACTATTACCCAGATACTTGTTTCATATATTTCCTTACAGGGAAATATGATATTTTATATATATATGTATGTATGTGACACAACACGACAGTATAATTATTTAACACTTACTGAACACCTTCTTTAGATGGCTTCTAAATTTTCAGTATAAGAAACCTGTGTTATAGCAACTGACTTTTACATATACGATTAGCTTTAGAATGAATTCTTAGATGTTACATTGGCTCAGAAGCCGTTAATTGTTCATAACTTTGATACTGTCAACAGAACTTTTCCTCCAAAAAGGATATGCCCATTTATATTCCCGCAAGTCCTATATGAGTGGATTTTGGGTGGTTTGGTTTTTTTTTACCCAGCTTGCTAATATATGTTAATAGAGCTTTATTTATTATTGCCAAGATGAAAGCATCCATTTTTGTCCAACTTGAATTTCCATTTCTCTTATGCGTGAATTTTGTTACATTTTAAGAGCTGCGTGTTTACTCTTTTGTGGATAATGTGCTTCATTTCCTTACTCATTAGGAAAGATAAGCACTGTGCCATATGAGTTACAACTGTTAGTTTTTCTAGTTTTTTTTACTTGTTTTTACTTTTAGAGATTATTGTTTTGTGTTTTTTAAATGTTTGTATATTTTATTTAAACGTGTGATCAACTTCAATAATTTTTTATGAGTTCTGAGTTTTGTACCATACTTAGAAAGGCAGGGCTTCTCCATTACGGTGTTTGAAATTTTTTCCTCATCATTCCTTTCCCTTTTTTTTTTTCCTTTTACATGTTTACATGACTGATTCATGTGATACTTATTATGCTGTTTGGAATAATGGCAGTTTTTCCCAGCTATCTGCAGTTGCCCAAGCAGCTTTTTTTTCAGCAGCTTTTATAGTAACAATTCTTTTATGCCTCTCTGATTGTCACCTGCCAAATTTCTACATGTATTTAAATCTATTTCTGAACTTCCTGTTCTATTTTGTTTATCTTACTGTCTGTGTAATTTTTTAAAAATTATTTGAGCTTTGTAAAATATTTTGATATTTAGATGATTCTTTTCCAAAATTTGTTTTCAGTATTTTCTTTATACATTTTAGGACTACTTCATTTCCTCGACCCCCAAAACTGCTCTTGTGGTTGAGATTGTGTGAAATCACATATTCATTTAACCCACTAAACCAAATACACCACCATGGAGTCAGTTGCTCCTAATGGACAGAGTAGCACTGCACTCTGTAGGATTTCTAAGACAGTCAGTTGTTACGGAAGTAGACTGCCTCATCTTTCTCCGATAAAATGAGGATGGATTTAAACCACTAACTTTTTGATTAGAAGCCTACAGCTTTAGCTACTGTGCCAACCGGTTGTTGCAGTTGTTGTGTGCTGTCAAGTAGGGACTGACCCTTCCACAGCTGACATTCCATGGTGGATTGATTTTCCCAGGCAGTAGTAAGTTGTGTGAGAGGAGATTGCCCACCTTTCTCCTGTGAGCAACTGGTGGACTTGAACTGCATTCCTTTGCATTGGCAGCGCCACTCCTTACCACTAAGCTACCAGAGCTCCCTATGCCAACAGACTTTTTATATGTTAGCTTAAGGAAAATGGATATTTTTATGTTGTTGCACCTTCTTGTCTGTTTTCATTGTAAGCCTTTGTATTTGCTCAAGTCTTTTGCTATATGTCCCTATGAAACAACTTAAAACCACCCAGTCTACTACCATGAAGTTGGTCCAGGATCATAACGACCCATCATTGGGGTTCCAAGGTTGTGAAAAGGGAAAGACTCTGCCTGAGTGTCTCCCGTGGAGCTTCTGCTGCGTTGGAACCACCAGTGTGATGGACATAAAGCCTTGCAATCTGTTTCCCGTGTGATTTGACAATTCTGTTTCAATGTAGGATCGGATTACCTGCCAGCATGCCTACTGTGGCCAAAATTGTACTTTCTAGAATAAGCAGATTGGCAACGTACTTATGTCTACTGTAGAGTTTAGCAAAAGCCAAGAAGAGAGAGACCGAGAACTCTTAACTGTCTGAACATTACCTAATTTAGGTGTTGATGTGACTTGAGCCTGGTCAGCTCCTTGGCCGTAGGTGTAACTTTGTGAGTCCCATAACTACCCTTCCAAACTTGCTTCCTTCCTCTCTGCCCATCCCACCAGACTTTAGCCAAACCGCCCTCCTGACGATTCTTTGACTGCCTCACACTTTTTGCTTGTGGATCTTCACTTGCGTTATCCTCTCTGCCTGTGGGTAAGGTGTCAGGAGGTTTGAGCTTACCAGCTTCTCTGCTAAAGAAAGATGTGACAGTTTGCTTCCGTAAAGACGTGGAAACCTTATGAGGCAGTTTTACTCTGTCTTACTGGGTTGCTGTGAGTCAGAATTAACTGATGGTAGGGAGTTTATTGTGTTTTTATTTTTGTTTTAACCACCTAATGCAACCACTCAGACACAGGTAGTTCAAGTTCATCAGCTGCACCAAAGGAGAAAGACGGGAGAGTCTCCTTTGCGATTTACAGCCTCTGGAGGGTCAGCTGTGAAGTGGTCTTGACAGTAATGAGGTTGAGTGCGGTTGAATCTGTGGTGAAGGCGTTCTGGTGTACAGTGTGTTGTGCTGCTAAGTGAAAAGGTCGGCAGTTGATTCCACCAGCTGCTCCTCATGGAGGGTCTGGGAGTCAGAACAGACTCCATGGCAATCGGTTCTAATTTACAGTGGAGGAGCCCTGATGGCCCACTGGACAAGTTACTGGGGTGCTAACCTAAAAGTCATCAGTTCAAATCTGTCAATGACTCTATGGGAGAAAGACAGTCTCTCCTCCCATAAAGATTTACAACGGTGGAAACTTGCTATGTGTTAAACTTGACTCAGTGAAAGTTCTACTGTGTAGTAGGTAAGTTCACATGTTGTTCAGTAATCTTTCCAACATATGATACAGTTTGTAATTTTGTATTTTATTTGTATGCTGGTGTATTGAATGGAAGTGTTTTCCAGCAAGATTTAAAGCAGGTCCATTAAACCACTGTATAATCAGTACCAGACTCTTTGTATTTGGCAAAAGGATGCCATAAGAATAACACAGAGGCAGCTGGATTCCTTCGAAGCCTTCCCTTTAACCTGGGGTGATTTCTTGCGGTTGTGCTTAGTAGATTGTTGCATGTCCTGAAGTGCTGCCCCAGAAGACAGTGCCCGCTGGAACGGTGCAGGAAGCCCTCAGTGAGCAGCGCCTGCCCACGGACAGCCAGCCTAAAGAGGAGCCCCAGCAAGTTCATCCTCCGCAGGAAAATGGTGAGTGTCTCCCTGCTATGTGGTCAGAGGCATCTGTGAAAGAGAGACTGCAATCGCTTCTCGACCTTTTGGCTGAGATCGAGTGAAAGAGAGACTGCAGGCTGCACAGCCTGTCTGCAGTCGGCAGAGTGTGGAGATTGAGAAGGGTGTCAAATCACTGGTGTTAGGAAAGAGATCAGTTAATAGAACAACTAGAAAGCGTGTGGCAACTTTGTTGAAAGACCTAGAAAAATCTTGAGGAAATATAACACTTATTTTGCAGCATTCTCTTAACTCTGCCTCACATGTTTTGTCTTAACACTTATGTTAAACAGGTTAAAAGCCTTCTCTTAATTCCTACTTGTATTCACATCTGGCTGGTCAGTTTCTTGCCTTTAAATCTTCCTTGTGCAGTGCTGCACAGTGACCTTTAGAGCATTTACTTTTTGTCTTCTTTCTCTTAAACATTTATTAATCTGTATTAGATACATCAAAGAAGAAAGATGAGTAGCATACGGATTGCGATGTATGTCCACAAGTTCAAAATCCCTACTCAGAAATCTTTGGTGTCAAATATATTTTAGCACTTAGAGTTCTTCAGATACAGTACGGTTTGCTGATCTTAGCATTCAGTTGTTCACCTATGGTAAGATTTGCTCAAGTTTGCTCAGTGATTAGGGTTATATTTCGCAAACATTAATTTTTCTCTAGTGAAAATATTTACAGTAAATGGATTAAGACTTTAAATAGCTTCATATCTGTTTGCTGTCATATTATGTCAGTGCCAAACTTGGGGGGCCAGGGATGTGAAATTTTTGGTGTTTGGAGCATTTGCATTTCCAAGTGCAAGATTCTGGACCTGTTTCCCCTTTGGGCTCAGACTTCCTGGAGACGCCATTTGTGGCCATGCCTGTCTCTTGTGCACTCCATCCTAGACTTTCCTATATTTCCTTCCCTGTAATAATAATAATAACAGCAGCATGACAGCTAGTTACAAGCATTTCCTATGTGTCAAGAGCGGTTCCGGCCCTTTTCCTGTATAAACTCCTTTACTCCTCAGTGCATCAGGGAGCATAGTGTTGAATGGGACTCATGGTCATCCATCCTCTCTACAACTGAACAAATCACTTTCTGGTTTTGTACTGTTTTCACAATCATTGCTTTGTGAGCCCATTACTGCAGCCACTGTGATCAGTTCATCTCTACGAAGGTCTTCACTCACTCTCTACCAACCCTGTGTCTTCAGGCGCTGGTCCCTCCTCATAACATGTCCAAAGTATGTGAAATGACGTCTCAGGATCATCCATCCTCCTCTCTAAGTAGCGGACTTTCACTGTGCTTCCTCCAAGACAGATTTGTTCGTATTTCTGACACTCTGTGGTATATTCCTTATTCCTCACCAACATCTTAACACAAAGGCATTACTTCTTCTGTCTTCCTTATTCATTATTTTTCACATTTGTATGAAGTGATCAAACCCACCGTGGCTTAGATAAGACACGTCTTAATCCTCAAGCAACATCTTCACCTATTAACATTTCAAAGATGCTTTTTGCAACAAATTTGCCCGACAGTTCTTGAATGCAGCTTCCATGAATTTAATTGTGGGTCCGAGTAAAATCTTGGACAACTTCAGTCTTTTCTCCATTTTATCATGTTCTTGCTTTTTGGTCCAGTTGTAATGATATTTGCATTTCTCTGTTGAGGTGTAGACCACACTGAAGGCTGTAGACTTTGCTTTTCATCAGCAAGTGCTTCAAGTCATCTTCACTTTTAGCCAGCAGAGTTGTGTCATATGCATATTGCAAGTTGTTATTGTTCCCCAATCCTCATACTGTGTTTTGCTTCATAGGAATCTTTCAAAGTTAAGGTATACCTGGACAGTGATATCTGAATAAACCATCTCTTAGAAACAAGACAAGCAGAGGTGACATCACAGGGTCTGATGGTCATTAGCTTCTAAACCTCCAGGGACTTTCTGTTCTTTCTGTCTGGAGATGATCCTTGTCTTCCTTCCCTCCCATCTCTGTTTCCTAGAGTCACCGCCTCCAGACTCAGACTTCCCTGACACCTTGTTCTGTCCTAGTCCTCTCTGCTGTGTAGATGTTCCTGTTGAAACTTGATGATCTTCAATTATTATACTCTTTGCACTGTGCTGTAAGTAAATAGAGTGGACACGACGGCCTCCTCTTGCAATAGGAAGATACTGCAGGACAGAACTGCCTATTCCTGTATCACACAGAGTAGAATAGTAAATATTTTTTGACTGGCTATAAACTAACCTTTGTAATTCCATGAAGGGAGGGAATGTGGACTAAGGCATTGTTACTGGGCTTGAGCATCTCGGAGATCTTGAGGATGGCACAGGATAGGGCAAGGTTCAGATCTTTCTGCTCATAGGATAGCTCTGAGCTTTAGTCGACTCGATGGATTCTGACAACAGCAACAACAAAGTGTAGAGGGGCAGCAGTGGTTTGCTGGTAGAATTCTCATCCACCAGGCAGGAGACCTAATTTGATTCCCAGCCTGTCTGCTTCAAGTGAAGCCATGACTTAAGTCAGCTGTATGTTAAAGGTTTTAGCAGAACTTTTCAACTAGGAATTAAAGTATGTCCACTTCTGAAAAATCAGCCAGTTTAAATCCTATGGTTTACAATTGACTGCTGTGCATGAGATCTTAGAGTCCTACCCAAAAGCAGCCAACAATAACAGCAATCAACATATGACAGGGTTGGCATCAGGTGAAAGCTTGTTAGAAAAGCAAGCTATCAGGCCCCAGCCCAAACCTACTTAAGTAGACTGCATTGTAACATGATCCCTGAAGATTTTCTTGCATATTCAAGCCAAAGGAATTGGCCTGTAGGGAGGATGGGGCTTGCTTGTTCTTTGAGAAGAAAAAGTTTTATCTTGGCAGAGCAAGAGGAATTGCATATTCTAAGTTTTAGCCCAACCAAAGGAGGAAGTATGGCTGGTTTTGAGTTTTGGTTTGTATTTTTTTTTAAGGGGCCAGATTATAGCAGGTCTTCAGAGGCAAGCAGAAGAACTCGTCTTTGGAAGGAGCTCTGGTGGCCTAGCGGCAAGAAACTGCCCTACAATCCAAAAGTGCGCAGTTCAAATCCACCAGATGCTCTGCTGGAGAAGGATGAACAGTTGCCTCCTGTGCTGGTCGGATCCGATTCGATGGCACACAACAAGAGAAAAAAAAGAATTAGTCTTTGATGTATTAAGAGACCACTGTGGCAAATGAGGAGCACGAGGACAATATGAACTTGGCAAAGACACTCCTACTTAAAACATCTTTTTCTCCTCCTTCAGCTCTTCCTATTCTCCAGGCTCCTTCCCTTTCCTTGAAGGACAGCCTTAGAGACAAGGAGCTGACACCCTCACTTCTCTCAGCTGGGTCCCAGGTGAGCTGGCGTTTCCTTTGCCTTCATTGGGATCCATATCTGTTTTCTGATGATAACCTACCTTACTCCTAAATCTTTATCAGAACTTATCACTTTCCTTACCTGGAGAGCAGGCCCAGCAGGAGTTTGCACATATTTCCGTTTTTTCCTACCTACTTGTTATTTCTCTGTCTTCTTTTAGAATAATCCTTCCTCTATTTTTATTTGGATTTGTCCCACCCCTTGATGCTCCCAGTTTTTCCTCTTTCTGCAAATGGAAGCTTAGGGAATGAACATTTAGCGATCATCTCGTGTTTCAGAAGTTGGTGACAATTCAAGATGTGGCTGATATGACTGTTTCCTTGATCTTGGAGGAATGGGAACATGTGGACCAGTCCCAGAAGAACCTTTATAGGAATGACAAGAAGGAGAATTGTGAGAGCATTACTTCCATTGGTAAGAATTCTTTCATTTGCATGAGTTAGGACATCTAATTTTTGTTCCCCTATAAAGAATGTTTCCAGCATATCACTTAAAAGCATGTATCTTTTCATTGCTATGACTGATTATTTTTTTCCCCTGTGAGTCAGTCAACTTTTGCTTTTCATATTCTTCATCCTGCCTATTTCCCTCATAAACAGGATGATTGTGATTGAAGGTGGTAGTACCTGAGGGATATAGTATTTGCACTTTAGCAAATGCTGTCTTTTTACTACTTAAAAGTAAAAGACCTTAAAACTAACATCTTTTTTGTCATTTTATTTTTAACCCATTTTTTTTATTGTAGTCCTGATAAATTAGACCATTTTTATCAAGTAATTCTGATTTATGAAAACATCGTGACTTTACGGAATATTTGTTATAATAGTTATTAGAATTCTCAATGGTCTCAACTGAATGTGTTCTAGAAAAATAATCACTTTCATCACCATGATAAGATCACAAATTACCATTGTGCTGTTCGTTTTAACGTCTACATTTCACATGTCATATTGATCCTTGAATTTTGTGGGGCAACCAAAGTTTTAAATCCATTTTTATTTTGTAATTCTGGAAAATCTTTGATTTTGCTTCTTAGAACAACTGAAAAGTTCTCAACACTCTAGGAAACATTTTGAAGCTTACCACTTATACCTTCTGTTGAATTCTTTTAAAAGCACCTTGATACTTACCTGGCAGAGGAAATACCATGATCAAAAAGGTATTTTTCTCAGGGTGAAGCTCATCATTGCATTCCAGCTGTGGTGACGCCTGTGATTTCCCCACATGTGGGAAACATAATTTGTGGTAGTGGGGGACTGTGTGCACACTTAAAGACTTTAGAGGAAAGAACACATACAAAAGCAAATATGTTTTGAAAAGCATTATGCCAGCTTCCATATCCGAGTGGATTCGTTCACTCATTGTCTTTTATTTAAAAGATGTCATACTGACTCTTAGTCTTTAAATATTTTCTTAGCTATTGATATTTCTTTGTTTTTCCTTTTCTTTATTTGTACCTGCTCTTTGCTCACTTAGTAAGAGGTCTTTTATCTCAAGACAGTACTTAATGTAGTGATATAAGCATTGTCATCTAATTTCTTGTCTTGTGTTTAAATGAATTGCAGATAGTTATCATTTAATTTGAGTCTACTAGTATTACTTTCTTGGAAGGAGGAGTGGCATCCACTTCCATAATAGCTTGCCTCTGGAAACCCTGTGAACCTGGATAGAGGATGAAAGGCACCCAAGCGTCGAGGACTCTCCTTCATAGGGTGGCTATGAGTCACCTGTGACTTGACGGCACTTAACAACAACAGTATTACTTTTGCATTTTCAGTTGTACGTTTCATAGTTGGAACTTCTTGGTACAGTTGTTTTTGTGGGGTTTTTTTGGTGCAGTTATTTATTCTGCCATTCTTCAGTTTCAAATGCATACTTTCCATCCCATTACAAGATCTTTAGAATGTCAGTGTACTTTTCTATATTAAGAACATGACCAGTGGTTACATCTTCCTTACCACCGCTGC